GCCTGTAGCCGTAAAGCAAGTCTTTCTTCCAAGTCACGTGACCTGGTGGCAGACGGTCCGTCTGCTCGAAACTTACATGGGCGGTATTTCAAGAGGGCAGCCCCGCTCGGAGCATTGCAAGTGTCAAGCGCTGTATATTGGCCCAAGTATTCATATAAAATAACTCATATGTGTCAACTCTTTAGGTCACAAAGTCCGCGGTGTGCCTTTAATTAATCTTTATTAACTTGTTAAAGTCCCGGCTCTAGTTTATATGCCATTTGTAAGTTGCATGTAAGTATGATTTAAACAAGAATAGCACTGGTAAGTGCTGCCATTTGAGCTATTTTTAGAACAGGCCAGCGGGCGACTCATCTGGTCCTTGCGGGCGACCTGGTGCCCGCGGGCACCGCGTTGGTGACCCCTGATTTATTGTATATCCAAATACACAAATATTAAGCTGTGGTAACAAACGACGGTCGAAAGATGTTTGCCTCCACACTATAACACCTGTCTGTCTTTAGTGTCCCACTTATATAGGGCATACTATCTAGGTGGCGCTACACAGTGGCAGGAGGCAGCAAAGGAAAAGATAGCAAAATGGCTCCAACAAAGATATACAATGTTGCTGAAGTGGGCTGGATGACATTGTGAACTTGTGTTTATGATCTCAAAGACTACTTTCAGTTTGCAAGGCAGAGGGCCACATGTATTGACACAGAGGGCCGCATTTGGCCCACAGACCTTAGTTGGACATACCTGAACTAGGGGTTCAAAGAAAATGAAAAAATATAACAACAATTTATTTGCGTTACAAGTGTCCTACATCTTTGAAAATCCCCCAAAGATAAAAATGACATTGCTTTCTTCAAGGAGTGAACATTAACGGGTCTAGAGGGTATTGAGTAATGGTAAATGTTGCTGACGGAAAGAGAATATGAGAGAAAATGGTTTTTTTGCGGGTCAGAAAAGTGATTAACTGGCCATTGTGAAGGATTTAGCTTGTTTCAGATCCAACGCAGCAAGAAAGCATCCCATGTCCCTAACTCCTGACAGTAATACGCTACAGAATTAATTTTCCAGGATTACTTTATATGGCCATAAAAAGTTAAATAGCTAAAGATAATGATGTGTATTATATGCAGAGTTAATGTGCAGCCATTACTCCACAACTACTGCAGCCTCAAAGGTCAAAACTCAAATTTAACATTCCACAGGGTTTACAGAGGGCATCCACCAGCGACGTCTTCAAGTTTTCAGGATTTGTAAGTTAATAATACATATAAAGAGTTATCGTTGTTATAAAGCGGTTTTACAGGGGCCTGGGTCGGGCTGTGGCTAACAAGGATTCTATTGCTCACAAATGACTTAAAGGGACGGTTTGTAACATGCACAATTAGCGGCCTAAAAAGTCTTTAGGAGTCGATTACACACACAACGCACCTATACACTGGTTACTGATGTAATCCACCTACTGGGGTTTAGCTGGGAACTCTACAAGCTCTGTGTTATGGATGAGTACTTATTTTTGTATCTGCTGCCATTTCCTGTGTTTTTATGTGTATTTTATATGCTTTTATGTCCTGTGCTGCTAAAGCAAATTGTCCCTGGTGGGATAAAGAAAGTAGTTTGAATCTGAATCATTTACGCTAATGTCTCTTGCTATTTTCATTTGTAGATTTTGTTATGAAAAAATAAAATAACGATAGAGCCAAAACCAGCTACATTTCACCTGCTCTCTGATTGGATAATCTGCTTGGAAATCATAAAGTTAAATAATATGGATTATTTTTGTATCCATTTTATTTTTTAAATAAGATTAACTCCACTTCAAATATTTCATTTATAATATACAGATATTACATAGCGCCCCTTTAACATTGTAAATTCTCTGGTGGAAAATGAGGCAAAATTAGAACCACTCAAAGCAAAATTGCTTTTTGATTTTGTTACTGGTATGTTTTTTTTTTATGATAATAGCAACTGTGATGCCCCTGTGTTTGCCTGAAATGAATAAATGTTAAAAATAAGGAGTAATAACTCAATGCTAAAATGATAAAAATATACATATACATCTCTGACTCTGGCAAAAGGAGAAGCAGAAACAAAATTAGAACCACTCATATTTCATAAGTAAAAGATAATTTAAAGAAAAAATAATGACATAGAAATAAACTACGTAAAGATAAAGAAAAAGTTGGGATAGTTTCAGAATTCTGGTCCTATAGCGTTAACGTTACCTAATACTATTGTAACCGGCTGGAGCCATAATGAACACACTCATTACAAACACATCAATTCACTGAACACAATTATTAACACCTGTATTGACTCATCCTTTCAGCTTGTCTGAGGTTAAAGAAAAATCGAAAAAACGCCACATCCTGTCAACACACAACGACAAAAACAGCGATCAGAATTCCTATTGACTCCAGCGTGGACTCAATATCTGTGCTCCTCTACTCATGTCTGACCCTGGACCCGGTTTAGAAGGTACTGGTTTCCATCGGTTGGTCCGGGAAGACCATTGCGGCAAAAAAAGTGCGCGGACTTGGCTTTTTTTTCTCCACAATTTTTGTGGCTTTGACGGCTGTTGCACGGCGAGTTCTTTTAATGAACCAGTCTGATTGACAACATCAAAGGTCAAAGACAAACTAAAAGCTCCCAATCAACGCCATTGATTTTCCCAGCCCATCAAAGGCTTTCTCCAGCGCCTGCACCATCAACCATTCACGCTGCGTCCATTTGGGCTGCTTTATTTTCGCAAACACGGTCCTCCTGCTGAGATAAAAAAAAAAACACCACTGCGAACGGCCCACTTAATAATCACATCACTTGTAATAAATGAGCCGTCCAGTCTCTCTTTGGCAATGGAAAAAACTCAACTAGAATTTTTTTTTTTTTACAATGTCATCCTTGTTAAAGCTGGGGTACCTAACTTTACCGCCATATACATAACACTGCATATTTGTCGTAAATTTCAGTGTTGCTTCACAAGTTACCACCAAAGGAATGAGGAGCACACAACACTAGATAAATGGTTGTGTGTATCAATTCTTGATCTCTGGGTATTATTTTTCCATAATTATTTTTTTATTTTGCAATAGAAGACAGGCTAATGTGTAAATGGAAAATGCGGTGGGATTAAATAAGTTATCTTCTTCACATTCCCTTTCAGGCAAAATTCCTTTTTGATTTTTTTTTATGATAATAGCAACTGTGATTTATTAATTTGCTTGAAATTAATAAATAATGAAAATATCTAACTCTAGCATAAAAAGAAGCAGTAACAAATGTCTCTTTAGCATAATAAGATAGAGATTGATAAAAAATCATGTATAATTGGTGATCCACTCCATATCACTAAATAGTTTCACATTTCTTTTAATTTCCATGTTATTTTGTACGTATGTTGCTCAAGTGAGTTGCTACTGGTGGGATGACTAAAGTGGTCAAAATCTGAATCAGAATTGAAATAATGAGCTGTGAATGAGAGTGAGGATGGTCCTTTCTTTGTGACTTGTTTGTCTGAAAAAGCAGATCTAAAAATGTGACAGAGGCCATACACAAATAATTTGAGGAAAGAACCGCCCTCTCCACTTTTTAAACAAAACTCTCTGGTCTTATTTGACGAGCACGCATCACCAGAATGATTGACAATCAGAAGGACCAATAGTCTTGATGATCCACCCGGAAGTAGAAAATCATCCTATACAGCAGGCATGTCAAAGTCAAATACATCAGAGGGCCAAAAAAACAAATTTGCTGCAGGCCGAGGGCCGGACTGGTTCAATGTTTATTAACTCATTGCCTGCCAGCCTATTTCAGAACAGGTACTCCCATATTGCCAGCAGTTTCTGATGATTTTTAAAGATTTTTCAAGACCCACAGAATATTGTGTACTATGACTATCTGAAATCCGAAACCAGATTCTGAAAGAATAGATTGTCTACTTTCATCAGCAAAAATAATTTTGTTTCTAGCTTGTAATCCCCAGTTGAGTAGAGGGAAGTTTTACTGAAATCACCAAAAAGCTGAGAAAAAAGAGGCACAACAAGTGCATCTAGCTGTTTTCAAACCATTCAGAGAACGCTGCTGCCACCTGCTGGCTCGATTCAATATGCTCTCAAGCTTATCCCCAAACATATTAGATATAATAGACATCTGGGAACATGAAAATAGCGGAAAACGCAATTGACGTAATAGTGCGTCAATGGCAACGGGCCATGTAAAATTCATTGGCGGGCCGGACTTGGCCCGCGGGCCTTGACTTTGACACATGTGCTATACAGTATACCGTTCATAAATGGGACGTAAAAAAAAAAATTCTGCCCGAGACAATTTGTCCTGTTTAGAGCAAGGAATAATGTAGCGTGATTTCATTATTTACTGTAGATAGAGCTAAGGTGGCTGAGTGGTTAGCAGTCTCGCTTCTCGGCACAAATGTTCTGGGTTCGATTCCACCTTTGGACATATTGGGCCTTTCTGAGTGGAGTTTGCATGTTCTCCCTGTGTCTGTGTACGTTTCCTCTACCACTAAAAACATATATAATGATAACTCCTTTCTCAGCGGGAATTTTTTTGGTTAAATAAAAATGTCAGATAACTATGTTGTGGTTTTGAAAATTAGGTGCACCAGCTTTTTATATAAAAAACACAAATAATCCCATGCAAATACGTCCACAGTCTTATTCACACTCTGATTATTGACTCAAAATGTGTAAAAAAATAAAAAAATAAACAGGATGTAAGAATCTTCCTTTTGTTTGGAGTCCGCAGAGATAGAACAATACACATTTTTTTATCCCACATTTGGAGACAGGAGGGGGGGTAGAAGGAGCGCCGCCGAGAGTCAATTTGTCTTTTTGACGTATGAAGCTGACAGCACTTAAAAAGGGAAAAAAAAGAGAAAAAAGTTTGATGAAGAAGAGTCCTGGTACTTATCCCAACGAGACGGCGGCTGACCAAAGCAGTGTGCGTAGGCTGGCTGTTGACAACACAAATACGTCTTGTGTCCCCAGGAGCGCGCTATACGAGAACAAATCCTCAAGCCTGGGGGGTGCAGGCTCCTCCGGGGGACAAACTGGAGCAAGCTGAAAGAGCAGGGGCCTCACTTCATTACTGTACACACTCAGACATGTGCCGTGGTGAGATGGTTTCGTTATGTCACTCTTCTCCTATGGCAACAGTGAGGGGTAGAGAAATATCATACAAACAAGACAAATATCACATGTTGTCGTTTATGCACTGCAAAAAGTGATGAGAAATAATATAAAAAATTGCTATAATTTGGGCAGATTTTGACTGGCTAACGACAAGATTATGTCACAAAACTAAAAAAGGAGAAAGGACCTGAAATTCAATACTGCCTAAAATAATATAATTTAATAAACAAGAATCCAAAGATGAAACTCAAGCGAACTGAGGACCAAGACAAGAACCTAGGAACAAAAACTCAAAGGACTGACAACAAGAGGGAATGGTCAGCACTAGATCATGTACGGAATCGGGACGAAAGCGGAAGTAAAAATCCTACTTTTGATTTAGTTTTAAGTGGAGTAAGATGGTTAAGGTTAGGGTTAACAGTGGGTTGGGGTTATTCTATGGGAATGGCTGGTTAAGTTTGGGCAAGTTTGGATCTATTAGTTTAGGTACTTCCGCTTCCGTCCCGCTTCCGTATATGATCTAGTGCTGACCCAGAGGGAAAGAGCACAGGGAATTTAACTGGGAGACACAGGTGTAATACATGGGGGCGGGGCAGGCAAGCAACGGAACAGGAAGTAAAACTCAAAAAAAGACACAGGAGAACACATAATGCAAAACAAATCAGCAACCGTGACAGATTTGCCAATGGGACGAGCAAAATGATCTTAAGCAATGAAAACGATAAAATAAATGTCTACCTTGGAAGGACAAAAAAAAACCAGTTCTTAAAACAAGATTTTCCGTTTAATCTTATTTAAAAACAGTAAGAATGTGCTCGAATTAGGATAAAAAGAACTTTAGTGCGATTATTAGTACCTCCTTTTTGCAGGGTGTGGCTCTCAAATCTTGCGTGATATAAAAACATTGCAGTTTCGGTATATTTCTATTACATTGAGCATTTTCATATGCATCAAAGAGGGAAGAAAAGGGGAGCCAAAATATTCAAGATTATTGTTTGAACACTAGGACCCCTCGAGCAGTCAATTTGGCGTCTCTTCATTTTGGAAGTGCGATCACTTATGTACGTCCTTGGTCTTCATAACTTTGTGACTTTCTCTTTCTGTTATCATTATGTTTAAGGAAATAGTAATGTTTTAATGTTTTTAAAAGCATTTGTTTCTTTACCATTGTAAAAATAGAGAATAGATACATATTAAAAACACTTTAATTGATGTATGAGACAAGTAGCAATAAATAAATACATAAATAATATCAATAAATATCAAAACACATGAGCCACTGAAGTTGCAGTCTTAAAGCTGGGGCACGTAATGTTTAAACCATAAATAATCAAAACAGTTTGGTTCTATCACTAGTTTTTCACATTTTAGACAGAAAAGTGAAAATTACACCTTCCCTCGGCCAATCAGCTCTCAGCATAAAATCCAAGTCTCTATGATGTAGCAAAATGGATGTATTATTTATGGAGAAAATAGTTACATACCCCAGCTATAAGACAGGCCATGTATAGAATCTTTAGTGGAACATACAGATACACGGCTGACCCACAATCACAAATGTTAACGCAACAATTCCACACAACTTAAACGTTATTCAGAGCGAGGAGAATGATCTTTAGCCAGCAGATTAGCCACTGCTATCTTGATTTGCTTTAATGATGGAGTGTCTTGAACATGACTAGACCCAGACCAGACCGAATTATCTCAACTGCTTTGGTCTGAACTTTGTCTGAGCAAAGTAAAAAGACACAGAAAGGAACTCTCCATTACATGATAGCTGTACACATAGTTACTTCTCCTGTTGAGACCCAATGACCCCTGCCTTGTCTATGAAATGTCGCTATACCTGATAAAACACAGATATGAATAGTCCGCTGTAGCCTGGCCTTAGCCACCCGTAAACTCTGGTCACTAATTATTTCCCTAAATGTACGTCTGGGTTTGATCCTAGTGTCGGCAGTTACCTCGGTTGTATCCCATCCGAGCAATCAGCGAGTGTGGGAGGCGGGTGTCGTAGGTAGGTGTCGGTGACGTCAAGAGTTTGCGCCGAATTTGCTGATTGTAGTTTGGAAATGGCGGCGAATGCAACAGCAAAATACTCCGCTCTGGTTCGGCTTCAAATATCAAGAAATTGAAGCCAGAGTAAGAGGAATGTTTAGTAAATGTCATTGCTGGCTCCGTCATTGGCAAAGGAGATGGCTAAAGCTAGGCTAAATGCTAAATACCTCACTCACTCGCATTACATGTAGTCCCAAACTCGGATATAATCATTTCAATCTGCAAAAGGAGTTAACCTCTCTCACCTGTTAACGAAGCACAAAGGAGCAAATCCAGACCTTAGTACGAAATGAAATTAGTATGATGGTGTGGCAAGACCAGGCTACTCCGCTACACACACGCAACAATGTCAACTTAAGCCTTCTCTCTTTCCCTCTTGCAAAGAAACAAAATCAACTATGTAAAACTGGATTTACCAAAGAAACTGCACTAACACGGATGCTGCGGACAAAAAAAAAAAAGTCGAATAGATTCCTGAAGCTGGCAGGCAGAAACTTTGTGTATGCATATGTTTTTGACGGTTATGAAGTGAAGTTTGGAGATGGACTGACTTATTTAGGTCTCTCGGAAAAACAAGAGGGATTGCTGCTAGTAGTACTGCTGCATCCGCCTATTGAAAGTCTATCTTCTTCAATCATCGCAGGCTTTTTTTGTTCTGACATATATAACATGGGAGGGTGGGGGCCGGGGAAGCATTCTTGATGGAATACCCAGATGTGGGACTGGGAGGCCTTCTTCATCTCCTGGATATTGCGAGCTTTCATTTGATGAGGATGGGGAGATAAGATTTAGCGATTGCGCAGAGGCTTAATGAATCCGCGCGCCCCTCAATGTCTCCGCTGAAGTCTCTCCGATAAGCCTTTTCCACATAGTTTAACAAAGTAAACGCAAAAACACAAGAGGAACGACGAAGAGGAGCGAGAACGGCGCCCATGGCTAAAGTTTACAGAAGGTTTGTGTGTGTGTGTGTGAGGAGAGGGTGGGAGGGGGATTTAACGTAACATACAAAATCATCACAGTCCGGTCCAAATTGCAAAAAGTATCTCATCTTTGATTGCTTTCATAGTGCTAATATTTTCTATTTCTACAAACAAAAGGGAGATTGTGTTGTGTGTAACCTTGACTTTGTATGTCAGGGTTTTTTGTACCTAAGTTTTGCTTCTTTATTATGCTAAAGTTGGAGATTTTAGACTTCTTTCCTTATCATACCAAAGATAGAGATTTTAATACTGCCTCTTATTCTGCTAAAGTTAGATGTTTTATTTTATTGTATTTTAGTATAGAGTTATTCTTCATTCATCTGTCTCATTCTTACTGTCTGTAACTTGTGATGCAACACTGAAATTTCCCCACTGTGGGACGAATAAAGGATCTCTTAATCTTAAAGCAGAAACAGAAAGATACAGGATTTCAAACACACTTTTTTCATGTCTTCCTTTAGATCAGGGGTCTCCAACCTTTTCCCTTTTGGAGAGCGCACTTTTTCGGGACGCTGGTAGAGAAATCGGCATAATTCATTTTTGACATTTCTTAAAACAATGGAACCACCAGCTTTAGATGTATTTCCAGCACAGATATTAAGCAAATGTATTACGTGTTCTATTGGTAAATCTTTTCTTAGGACCATCAAAGGGTTCGATAATCAATTTAGCCACATTTGCACAACTAATAATTTGTACAGTATATGAGCTACTTTGAAAAGGGTGGTGATAGGTTGGAGACCCATGCTTTAGATCCGCTGCTTCATTCCTTTTTGCCCAAAAATTGGCCTTTCCACAGACCTCCTGAAGACTTTTGCACAGTTTTCTTTACACGGACATTATTCAACATGTGCACTGCTGGATATTTTTACATTAAAGCAACTGGCTGAGACAAATATCCTCGGCCTGTGTCCCATATGAATGTACATTATTTACATGGAAAAAGATCAAGCGTCCTTGCAAAAATACAGTCTAAAAAGTGTTCAGTCTTGTCCCCTACAGAAGAGTATAAATCTGTACAGTGTCCTCGGAGGGATTAGGCAGCACAGTGTGAGCTGGTCCGTCCATGCATGGGCAGCAAAACACCCGAGACTGTTCATTGTGACCGTGGCTTCATCGGCTTCTGGAAGCATCTGCCAAAGAAGATGTATTGCTCTGGAGCCGGTCATAGACTCTCAACATTAAAACACATGGGGCGCCTCCTCAGAGAGCGGGATGTCTGCGTGTGAAGGCAGGTAGCCTGGCAGGGGAGACACACACACACACACACACACACACACAGTTATGTAGCCATATGCAAAAGAGAGTATTTTGTGCAAGCAAACACGTTTATCTTGGATGGGTCGATTGTGGAGCCGCTGCTGGAGGTAAATCAAGTGGAACCGTGGAGATATTTCTTGATGAAAATGCTTTCAGCGCTCTGCCTTCCTTCCTGATGCACTAATTATTTTATTGGGTCAAATAATTCACACTGACATTTGCCTTACTTTGGACTTGATTGTGTTTTACTCTCACATAAATGCTAATGTGGCAGAGTGACAAACACAGGCTGACTGATGCTGCACAGGGCGACAGCAGGAGGACATGTGTTTACGTCTTATTATTGACAACACACAAGCTCTGGCCATCGAGCTGCAAGAGGATACTACTTTATCTATTTAGACCTTCACTTTGAAGAAATTCATTATTAAATCATTACTTTTCATAGTAGTTTGAGTCATCTTATTTTTTGAAGTAACAATAGTTATTTTTTGTTTTTATTGAAAACAGAAACATGCTAAATAAAATCCCAGCAAATATTCAGCACAAACTCTCTCTCTCCATCCATTATTAGTGTGAGTTTATCAGATGTATGTTGTATTTACAAATGTAGAAAAGACATAACTTAGGTATCGCTCTTCCTGCACTGAATCTTCATTCCAGACTCGCCGTCAGGACTTGTGCAGTAACTTTTTATTGCTGGATTAAATGGCCACTTCATCCCAATTAAAAAAGACTTCTCTACCTCTAGTCGGCCTAATTGTTGAGTTTTGGTTATATGTGCTGAGGGTTTGAGATACTGGTCTAACATTTCTGCCTGAGCAAATTTAATTGGAAGTACTTTTCGAAGATGAAATAGTCCCTGTAACAGCGGCTGACAGAGTCAGCGCCTGCGACTGGAGAGAACAGCAACACTGCTGCTCACTGTTAAACACATCCACAGTGTGACAAACACCAAACTAAACTTTTCACCCAAACAATGAAGTTACAAGGAAAGCAGCGTATTCTAATGTTTACCAGACATCACACTTTATTAATTTATCACACAACTTAGAAAACAAACCAAAACTGTCTGTTTTTGTTTTGTTCTGTAAAATTATGTTTTAAAATGTTTGAAATAATAATCTTAATTGAGAAAACACACCAACAAATGTTACATTTACTGTTCTATGTCCTTCTATTAAGAAGATTTGATAAAAGTGAATGACAGCTACAGAACATATGTAAAAACCTTTTTCAAACGCAAGCACCAGTTAGACCCGCCTCCACAGGTTCCTGATTGGACGCAATGAATTGAAATACTTGTTGGACAGTTGGATCTAAATATTCTTCTTCAGCAAATCTTACTGGTGACGTGTCGTCCAAAATACTTCCACAATGTATAAAACAGTTATTAGAAAAGGAAATCCCTTCTGTTCTTTCAGCCCCAACAAGTTCCCTTTACTTTTATTCGGCCCCATGACCAGCTGTCGTGGTAGAAGTTATCATCAAAGAAATTGCATTTGATTTCAGTCTATATTTATGTTATTCCATTACCACAAGATACATTTATGCACTAAAACTAGAAACAAGCTTTATTTCTCGCCTCCTCTTCCTCACTATAATATATGTCGTAATTGGCTCTCCAAAGGAACACCAATATTTATGCTATGTCTTATTTACAATATGCCTCGACCTATAGCTATCAACAATGTAGCTTCCACTGCGTGAGGAGACCGGGCCGACTATAAAACAGGCCGTAAACCATGCTAATGTATACAGAGGGTCAGCACAACACCACATTTTTAAAAGACTATAAAGTTTTAACAAGATCAAATCATTGGGTTTTCTTTTCCTTATCTGTCTGAGGCTACAGCCCGGTGTGATGTATTTGTGGAAGGTGCTTTTCACTCAGAAATATGGCTTTTGATTGGAATAGTTTCATTACTGCTATGGCTGTGGTGTTGTCTCAGTTCCTTGTTTGCTCCAAATCCCCAACCAGTAATGATATTCTTATATATTACGGCTATGGCTGAACTTCTGATTTCATTTGAGAAAATAAACATGCAGTCCAGACTTTAAAGGGGGTGTATGTAATATGCATGGTCTCGTGAAGTTACAATTACAATCACACTTTTGCTGTTTTTTTAGTTGCTCTTTCTCTGAGGACATCGGCGACAATCCAGGACATTGATGACGTTTATGGACATTGGTCATCTGCCCTTATGGACCATTGGCTCTATTGGCTTTTTTATTTGAATTGTTTGATTATCTGATCTGTGTTGGAGAAATGACAAATTTGTAGATGACAGCTGTTGTGATTTAGGGCTATACAAAGAATACATTGAATATATTTTCCAGTATTTTCCTGCCTGTGATGTAGATTCTAAGCACTGTTTGTTTTTGTTTTTTTTGTCATTTATATTTTATTGGTTTTCTTTTGCAGTCATACATTAATCAATAAGCGTTTTACAGTCAGTATGACCACAGTTATTAAAACAAAAAAATAAGATGCCATGAGGGGAGAAAATAAGCACAAATAAATATAAAGTTAATAATAAAATAAATAAATAAATAAAATAAAAAATAAAAGTAAATAAATCACAAACATAAAGAAAAATAAAACAAAGAAAACACAAAAAATACCTGATGTATATAATTAGAAATAATAATAATGAAGAAGGCAGCAGGGCTACACAATTAGCTTTGTAACATAATTTGCCGTGTCAGAGCTCTTCAAAGAAAGGAACATTGAGTGGGGACAGTTGCAATCCACCTGCCGGGGTTCTGTTAGAGACAGTACAAATCTGTGTTTTACTTATGCCAACTTATTTTTATAGCTGCTTTCATTCACGTAAATGTGTGGTGCTATTTTTGTTTGTTTGTGAATGCTGTGATACAAAGTAAATAGTAGGGATAAAAGATGGAGCCAAAACCAGGCAAAAATTACCCAAACAAACTGCAAACCCTTATTCTGCTCTCTGATTAGACGAATATATTTTATTCAGAAAAGGTCACATATGATTTGATCGTGACCTGTTTTCTTAAGACACATACAAGATGTAGATGCCAGAGTGATTCAAAAATATATTGACAACTTTTCCTAGCTTGACCAGCACTGGGTCATTTCGACTCTTTTAGACCCTAATTAGGGATATTTTCTTCTACTATTAATGACTGTGGCTGGACATTTTGACCTGAGGGTAGCAAAACGGTTAAAACTTATATTCTATTGCATATCTTTTATTATATTGTAAACATACTTTAAATTATTTCAAGTATAAAATAGGCCTACATAAGTTTGTAAAAATAGAAAATGCCTCTGAGCACATGGCCACTCACTTTACAGTTGTTTCTTCTTTAAGGCTCACATGGGTAAAACAATAATGATCCGTTTTAAGCCTTCTTCGTCTTAGCTTGAGATGCACTTGCAGTATTAGCCGGATTAAAGCTGGAGTAGCTACTTGTTTGTTTATCTTCTACACGCTGAGAGCTGATTGGCTGAGAGAGGGCTGGTACTCCTTCACTGAAAAAGCTGATTTTAGGTGTGAAAGAGGCCAAAAACACACACAAACTAGTGATAGAAGCACAGTTTTAGGCTATATCCACACGAAGACAAAACGCTTATAATTTCAGAAACTTTTTCTGTAAACACGGAGTTAGCTCAGTAAATGTGTGCGTCCATATGAATGTAGTCAATACGCCTGAAAACGCTGTGAAACTATGCCAGACCTGTTGGTGGCGCTGTGATGCAATGACAACATGACGAGTGTGCGAGCTGGTACTACATTAGTATGGACGGACGATGAGGTTGAACTGTTGCTTCGGGTCACACTGGATTACAAAACCAACAAGCTACATTGTTGTTGTCATTATTTTCTGAGTGCGGCGCATGCGTGCTTTAACAAGAGGCGGGGCGATGACGCAAGCGTCTCAGATACATTGCGGAGAGGCAGTAACCACAGAGCGGCATATACGGAGTTTTGAAATCTTTCCACTCTGGGACCTAGTTTCAAAAATGTTCGTTTACACCCCCCCAAAACGCCGGCCTCGTATGGACGATACACTGGATTGATAAAGTATTTTTGGGTTTAGGCCTGAGCTTGACTTCGTGTGGACAGGGCCTTAGGGACATTTTTGAGCAACATATATATTTTTTCATTCAATTTCATTATATATCCTATGTTGGTTCCTATGCGCTTGGTTTATTATTTATCCTGTGTTCTAATGGTTTGATTCTCTGATCTGTTGTTGTTGAAAGTTCTCTGTGATGACTGTTGTAAAGGAGGCATACACAAAAATAACTTGAATTAAATTGAAATAGATTTGTGTCAGTTTTATGGTTAGGTCCTCCAGCTTTAACTGCCGCACACACACACAAACACACACACACACACACACACACACACTGTATTGGATCAGGACATGACCGGCACTTGTACTTGCTTACACAGACTCAAAACTGTGTTGATATTTTCACAGACAGTATTATTCTGTCTGTCTGTATTAGAAAGCTACCGGCTAAATTATAACCGTATTGACTGTAAAAAACATGCAAAAACCCTGGGCGCAGCAGCGGCCAAACTCCACGCCCGCCTTGAGGAACCAGCGGACAGTAGTACCTCTGCTTTTGGAGTCTAAGTGTACGTCCACACGGTCCAGCGAGGTCAGCCGGTCCCCCTGCGGCTCCGGCTCTGCTATGGAGGTTACAGTCGGGATGACCTCTTGTTCTTTGTCAGGCTGCTCTGCTGTGTATGTGTTTATGCCCGGGATCTTCCTGTAGGGTACACAAGGGAAACAGGAAGAATATATTTGAGAAAAAAAACAAGTAAAATGGAGGCCTGTCTCGCTAATGCTCTCACATAAGCATAAAGCACTATTTTTATCTGTTGAGAGAGAGCGCGGGGAAGCGTTTTAGCATTCCACCGGGCATTGCACTCTCACTCTCATATTGTTCACCTCAGTTTTCAATCCATTTTTTATCCCCCTCAGACGCAACCCCTGGATTCTACTTAAAACATCATTCTCCCCATGTGTCGTCTGCATCCGCCTGCATTGACATTTGGAGTCGTTTTTTTTGAGCGGTAATGCCTTAAAACAGCGTAGAAGATTTTGTATGTAAAATTGGAGACTTTGTATGACTCCTTTAAGGCCACTGGAAGAAAGTTAAATGCCACAATCAACAAGTGCAAGATCATTTCATTTATCAGAGAGAGGTTACACCATGCTTTGTGTTGCAGCTTAGTGGTTATAATTGGCACAAAGTCACAGTCGCGGCGTACGTTCAGACTAATGTGTGGAGAGACTGGCTTCTGTTGGCTGCTCTGCTGATCCTCTTTGATCACACACTAATACTCTTTATGGTTTTAGTTTGACTTGTTCAGATCCATTTCAGAAATTCTTCAAAATGTCCATAATTTATAATAACACATCATAATAATACTAATATAATATAATATAATACACAAGATCTGCCAAAAGTTCAGCTTTTATTACTAATAAACTAAAAGTGCCAAACACTGGCTCAAAACCTTGTGTGGTGGAGGCTCTTCTACCATCTGAGCCTTGCATGAAAATATTATCCCTGTCAAACAAATGAAGAGTAATGCCTCGATGTACTGTATATGGTTTATTTGGATGGCACAGTGATATTCAGGAACAGCAGGAGATGTAAATACACCCGACTGTAGCTGGTAGATTCTTCACAAGGCATTACTTAATCACTCGATACATGATGGTGATCAGGTATTTACTCTAGCCACAGCTTTCCTGGGGCAGCCTGACAGAAGTGAAAGTGCCACCGGGCCCTCCGAACACCATCAACCATTCACACACACACCAGACTTATTCAACGCAATGTGGGTGAAGACAACAGTTTTGCACTTTACAGCCGCCCCACTGTGGCACCTGGTGTTCCCACAGGTCTCCCATCACAGTACTAACCAAGTCCCGTCCTGCTGAGCTTCAGAGGTCCGACAGGATCTTACATTGTTATATAACAAAAGTAAACATTCAGAGTTTGACCTGTATTATTTACTGTATCAATATTTAACTGTAGCTTTAGAAAAGTAAGATAAATGTAACTTTTACAGCTTTGCTAAATGTCTATCGTGTGTACGTACTCACTTTATCTATTTTTACTCATACAACTTGTTTGCAGCTTGAGCCAAAGCAAATTCCTCATTTGTGACTTCCTGTTACGTACGAAGCAACAACAATAATTCTGATTATGATTCTAAACACTATTATTCCAAGCAAAGAATGGAACTAAGCATTGATCTGTTTTAATCATTCCTAAAGTAAGCGTCCCATAATGAACGCTGCCACAGAATGCCCCCGTGGCGTTTCCGTGTGATGGACTTGGGATCAGGGGAAGCGGTCGTGCTATTTACTGTACATATAATGTACGTTGTCTCTGGACTTATCTCTTCAACCTTCGCTGCCATTCCTGAGCAGTGCACGCCACACCTCGGATGTCGACGTTCGCATTTCCAAAAGGTCAGGCCTCACAATGTCAGATAGATGCATATTGATAACTGTAGGACTGTGACATCCATTCAGCTCTCCCCAAGAATTGATTACACTGTCATTCCCAGTAATATTCTGCAGATTGAGACAGAGGGGAATTGTCTTATCCCTCCTGGTTATTATTGTGCCGCCTCTGTCCATAACTCAGAAGTATAGGGAGGCTAAATACTTGGGGAAACTTTTAGGAGCTCAAGAGTGCAGTGCTTGCGAGTGCGTAATGGTGCCAGCTGTAAATAAGGCCATTATGCAAACGCATTTTGGAAAACAGACAGCGGAAATAGAGCGGTATCTATCATTGATGTGGGTGTGGGAATGGGGATGGATTTCCGCAGAAGTTGCTTACAAGGCTGGGTCGACTGAGTGTTAAAACAAGTGTATATATGTGTGTGTGTGTGGATTGTACCTCTTGAATTTGTAGATGACGAAAATGGCCAGAACCATGAGGACGACGGACACCAGCATAATAATGGCAGTGCTGCTGTGGACGATGTCGGTGTTGTCCACTAGGGGTGCTGCAAGAGAAGATGGGAGTTTAACGGCAAAAAAGAAATAAGAATCTTGTGATTAAATGTCATCAGAAAGTTGTGTCATAACATATAAGTATATATTTCTTTGCACTAGAGTATACAGGTTATACACACTTATACCTGTATGTATGTACTATTTTATTCTTTGTTTCTTTATTAAAAGTATAAAGGGATATTTTAGGAAAGAATCGCCTTCTCTGAAATAAAGGATCAACTTAATCTTAATCTCAAACCCGGTCTGTGTGCTTCTAGAATAAAATCTTAGCTCCTTTACTTTGCCATCTTTGTTTACAAACACTGAATTGGTCAATTATGTCCTTCCTACTTTCTCTTTAACCAACTTCATGTCTCATACTATTAAAATAATGCTTGATAATATTGATATATTGATATAAATATTATAGATTTGTTTCATATTTGTTTCTATTTAGCAAGACAATAACGTGGAGAACAAAATATTATTTACAAATGTGAACACAAGCTTCTTCTGATGTAACGTCTGATCTCACTTACAATTTCATGAATGTATTTCATTAAACTCTTTGAAATACATTTTAAAACAACATTTCAATTATAAAGTGGAACAAAAGATGAGTTTTAAATCCTTTCTGATTCTTAAGATGATAAATCTGTAATGAGGTGGATGCACTGCATTATATCAGCAGAGTGTTTAACTGGAGCTGTATTTACTGTACGTAAAAGAACTGGAAATAAACAAACTGCTCAAATACAGAACAAAACATCAAGCACAGGCTTTTAATGGAGCTCAACAAATTGCCCTCATGGCAGTCCACTCTGGTGCCATTAGATAAACTACCTTCATTTTCATCAAAATGACGGTGTTTTGAAGACACTGCACAAACTACGCAGCTGTGTGACTGATACAGGTCAGGTTTAAAGTCCAACAGGATCAGAGAAAACACAAATATTAAGTAAAAGAAGCTTCATACATTAGATTTTAAATACAATATTGCCTTGTGGTTATTATTCACAGCTGATGTTAAACATGGTAAACCACAGGATTAACTATGAGAACATTCTTTGGCATGTTTCAGACGCTTATGTTAGCTTCAGCTAACACGAACAGTTCATTTGAATATCACTCACATTTTACACAGTTTATTTCATTCACTTTACTCCTGAGTGTTAACTGGGCTGGTTTCTCTTCTCAGAGGTCATTAGCCAGTAACGGCCAAAATAAATCATTTAAGTGTCAAGTGCTAATGACAAAGTCACTGACGAGAGCAGCCACTGCTCACTGTGTTTTATCAATCTCAGAAGAGACAAGAATGTTGTGCCTCAGGTTCTATCTTTCTATTCATAGTTTACACACATTTACACAACACTAGAGGTGTGCAACAAAACAAATCAGTTAGATACAATATACTGCAATATATATGGGAAAATAATTAGACATTTACTTAAAAACAGACAATTATTAAAACATGGCTTCTTTCAGAGTTGAACTGGCGCCCTCCCTCAAACTGAAATAGAAGTGTAGAACACGACCTTGATGATTGAACACTTCTCGTATGATTTGGGTCAGCTCTGAAACACCTCGACACTAAGAACATCTCGTGACAAACCCAGTGCGCTCCAAACTGACCTGGAGAGAGGCGTGTGGCGTAGACGTTCACCTGCACCCCCGGCTTGAGTGCGAACTGGACCAGATCCTGATTCAGAGCACTTAGCAGGACCTGAGAAAGCTACGAGCAGAGTGACAGAGCAGAGAAGAGTCGGTTAGTCCTGCAATATCCCACCGCCATCAATATTTCAGCCTCAGTCATTCCTTTCCAACTGAATTATGAATTTAGATTTCCTTCTAAAGAGGAGCAAATGTTGATGTCGCCACGTGAAGTCCGACCTGGCGTGTCAAGACCAGGTCCTGGGTTTGACGGAGGAGGCCTAACGGGTAAAAGGCCGAGTGGGTACTGATGTAGCAGCCGGAGCCGAGTCCTGGCATTTGGAGAAATGAATTCCTCTTCTATTTCTGTCACATTAAGGACTGTTTAACCTGAAAGACTCCAGCGCTGCACACGGTGACTCCCAAAAATATTATCCAGCTCTGAGGTTACACTATTTAAAATGTGTGAACTAGAAGGAATGGACTTTTTAAGTGAATCACTCAAACTGAAGCAGAAGTAGCAGAAAAATTGTGAGTACGAACATGTCCTTACAGCTACAGAAAGTTTTACCACAATCATGAGTGGTTATTATTCACAGCTAACCCTAACCCTAACCCATTTTCACACAATTTTCTAACAAGTATTATTTGGATTCCATCTGTAGTGGAATCTGACCTGCATGTTTTGGCAACTTAACATTATTATCTCAAGAACTGAATGTCTTTGTTCTGACCCACATTGCTACTAGTATCCATATCTAAAGCCTCGGTGTCATCAGTATCTCAAGGATGACGTCTCTTTTCTTATGCACATTATACACATCATATAAAAAAACGGTTACAGCAGGTGCAAGAGATTGCTGCTGCCTTTTTCTTCTTCAACACTGTTTTTTGCCATTGCCATCCACCACCAATCATTCACACACACACTAGGCTCATTCTAGGCAATGTGTTCAAACACAAGACATGCAATGATGTAAATCACATCGGGTTATTAGTCCATAAGAGGCAGAAGACCACTGTCAGGTTGATAAATGTCCATAGATAAATGTCCAGAATACATACAAGTCACATTGTCTTCATAGAAAGCAAAATGATGTGATTGTGAATTAGCTGAAGAATCGGATCTAGTGGATATGTGCCTCTGCTCTCCTGAAGTTTCATTCCAACTGAGTCTGTTCTGAAGAATAAAACTGTATGTCTGTTTTTATGTGTCCGCTCTTCTTTTTCACACCACCAAAACTCTCCCCAAACCCCCCACTCTGAGCATTCTCCAGTCCTTAGCCATGCCTCACTAATTCTATCTAACTCTTTTAAAATCTTTCCACTGTTTAAAATTAGACTGCTCAACACAGTATGAATAATTACTTTTTGTTCTAGTGGCATATCAGGGTCAGTAAATCTATTACACGTTTTAATAAGGCCCACAACGCTTCGCACATGGCGTGTGGCTCTCAGTCAGTCCGGCTGACGTGATGTCTCCTCCATGCACCGCGACTCACTGGAGATGAGATGAGGAGGAGAGTGAACTGAAGATTTATTGCCCTATTATCGGTGTGATTCTGCCAGGTAATCAGACAGGCTTTAGATAAATACATCTCTTTAATTCCCAATCCAGTTTGCCTTCCCCAGTTTGTCTTCCATCCACGTTGGTGCCAATTATATGATGCATCAATGTAATTAAATACCTATTAAGTCAGTTCGAGACTGACTGTGAGCCAGCAAAATGATATTTGCTCAGGAACAATGTCCCTGCCCTGGTGACGAACGCACATGTCTCTCTGTCGAGAACTGTTCAGCATATTGTTTACATATTAATGAGCTTGAACTGACACCAAAGTATCAGGACTGCTGTTTGCCAACGTTTTAAAATGTCAAAGAACTCACAGCTCACACTGGATACAACCCACTACAATCATTTTGTAGAAGGTATTTAGACATTAGCCAACATTACAAACATGTTCAACATGCTACAAGTGGCCGACTCACTGACTGCACCAGTGGAACACTGAAAACAACCCCAGGTTTCAGTTACTTCTCAGCCTCCTCTGCAGGACTCAGAGCTCCAGCAGGTGGAGGTCCATCTACATCAGGCTCATGATACTCTGATGGTAGCCTGTGCATGTTCTGTTCTTTCTGTCCAAATCCTTTTCAACAACAATCTGCTAATATATAATGAAATAAATGACCTTGATCCAAAGATGTAATATGCCTCTGGTTTACACAAGGTTAAAGTTATGGTTTTTATTTGCCCCTGTAGGAAATGTGTCCTCTGCATTTGACCCAAACTGTCAAGAGCAGTGGTTAATACAGTCTTGATGCTTTGTCACTACTTTCGGAAGGGTAAGGGAAACCGGAGCTCCAGGAGGAAACCCACCCAGACACAGGGAGAAACATGCAAACTCTACTTCCACAACACTATAGAGATGTGGAAGTAGAGTTCCTACAGCTGCTTCTGCACAGCCCCAGCTTCACTGAGTCTTCTGCCTCCTCAGTCTCTCTCATGTCGACATTGTGACTCTTTATGTCACTCCTTATTGTTGCTCGATAACCAGCACACCACACTGCATTTCTAACACCGAACATTGACTACTTGAAAATTATGATAAATAAACTTGAAGACAACAATTCAGTCAGGTACAGTAAATCTGCATGCAAATTAAATTCAAATCTTTAGATCTGGGGTAGCAAAACTTTTCAGACTGGGACATATTTAAACAACTATTGAAAATATAAATAATTTTGAAGTGTCAAAACATGATACATTTATCTGAAGGTTGTTTATTTTTGTATTGTTTATTTGGTTAGGACAGTGCATTTTAATAAACACACCTCTCCGGATTGTTGCCATGAGCTGATTTACGTCCATTGTCCCACATTTGCACTCACAAACACACACTCATTCTACCTGAACTATTTTACATGTTTTTAGTGGTAGGGGAAACCGGAGCACATGAAGGGAACCTATGCAGACACAGGGAGAACATGCAAACTCAGCAAATGCTATCCACTCAGCCACCCTATATTTATTTACAAATAATCTCACAACCCCCAGCAGTGTCTAGTAACCCCACTTTAGGAACCACTGGTCTAAAAATGTGATCCTTTCAACAGAGAGAATTTCATTAGTTCACCTGTATCTTGTTTGACCAGATTAGGATGGAGTTATTTACAAATAAATATGTCCAAAATTATACTTATATGGCACTATGTAGTGTTTTCTGTATTATACTCTCAAACACATTTTTACCAAATAAACTTGGCAATTTATAAATATACATGCATTTTTATGTTTCTCTTTCTAGAGCAGAAAACATGCTCTGTGTGTGAGAGGATTCCACACTCTGCATGTGTAATAAGCTGATTTCAGTCTAATACATGGGAAGACACTGCCCTCTGGTGGCCACACGCCGTATTACATCCTAGCTTGTAATCCTCGCTTGTAATATACCAGCTGTCGGATATTAAGCCTTTGAAATGAGAGCTCTGATATTCTTTTAGCTTTAATGAGAGCAGATGAAAGGTTTATGTGAAGTGCAGAAAGGAAACACCAATATAATATGAGCTCTGGCAGTCAAAGTCTCAGGGTGAACCGAGCTGACGGGTAAATGAGAAACAATTGTGATCTTCCAAAGTTTGTGTATGACATAAATAATATTCCTCCTGTCTGTCTGTGATAATGCCACTGTTTTCCATATTTTAGCCCAATTACAGCCTGGCCGGTGCGCTCGTCATCGTCCGCTGACCTTTTCAAACTCATAACACTTTTGCCTACATACCAAACAGCCTCCGTTTCATTCAATTCACCGGCTCTGAAAAGACTTTTGGACTTCAGACTTCCCTGAGTTTGGTAATCCATCACAATAAGGAGGACGTCTGCTTTTATTCTCGTCAAACTGGGCCAATCGGTGGAGGTTGTGGTGCAGTGCGGTGGAGTTCGGAACAGAGCTGCACTTAAAATTGTTTTTTTGTTTTATATGTGACAATATCTGAATTTGACAAAGATGGGAGCTGGCGGGTGTAGCTCATTGAGATGCATTGTTTTGGTGCTAAAGTAGTGGGAAAAAATGCAATATAATAAATGGATAAACACGGCTTGAAAAACGATGTGCTGCAAAAGTTTGATATGCGTTTGTGAAATTGAATTAACTGTAATAATGTTTTATTTAACGGCAGTAACAGGAAACCAACCTCTGAATACTTCTCAGTGATTTAACTATTGTACTTTACTAACTATTGTTCTTCCAACTTTTTGCTAACAGGTTTGAAGAGGAGAACCATGCTTCTAAGTAGGATTAGTTTGGTTAGCCATGCTTCTAAGAGCTACATTATTTGTTTATTGTGATATTCTTAACCAGGATGAAACATTTCTACAACTTCGGAACATAATAAAAATGAGTTCTTCGCTCTTAAAACTGTTTTATCATTATTTTTCTCATGCCTCATTTACATAATTAAATCAGAAAGAAGAAAGTATCCCCCTCACTCAGCCAATCAGCTCTCAGAATGTGAAAGATATTAAGTTTTTAAGCAAGTCTCTTTCTGTTGGGAGAAACAATGCATTTATGAAACAAAAGTCCGGCTGTTATGTTTTTCAACTGCAATTCTTAAAAATAAAATTGTGCGTCAATAATTCAATGCAAATTTTATTTTTTGACTAAAGTAAAAACAGTATCTTGTACTTTATACTGTTTCTAAATTAAGGGAATGATTTTCTTACTTTTACTTAAATGTTTGCACTAGTATTCCTACTTTTACTAAACGACCTGAGACTATGCTTTTTCTACCTCTCAAAAAATCTTCAAAACAGTTTGAATGCAGCCGTTTGTTTCTAAATGGCAGTGAAACTTTAAGCAGTCCAGTGTTTGGCCGTCACAAAGGACCAGGCAACTTCATCATCTCTAATCGTATCAGTTTAGACCCAGTGGACTTTCCTCTAGTTCTGCACAACTTAAAACTCTGATGTTTGACAGGCCGGCACTTGTGTCAAAGTCCCTTCCTCTAATAAAATGTACATTATTAATGCGAAGAGGACATAAAAGGAGCAGCGGAGCTCGACTAAGTGAATTTACTTTTCTTCATTCTCAATCTACTGTATCTGCGCTGCCTAAAATATGTGCTAAATCACAGACACACTTCTCCTGAGGCCGAGGCCGTGGAGGCTCCCTGTCCTCCACTACCATCGTACCCTTAAAGTTGGGGTTCTGAGTTTTCAAACCACCTAATAAAACTTAACTACTTCCTGGTTTATATAATGCCTGTATTTTTGCCCTCTGCCACGAAATGACATATCATTTTTAGACAGAAAATTGTAAGTAAGAACCACTCGCAGTCCAGAGCAGCAAAGTTGGTGGAGCTTCGCGTTCCTTTAAAATGTATATACACCTTTATAACCAAAAATGCTTTCCTTTGCATAACTTTGTGGTTAATTGTTAGATTTTTTTAATATCATGTCAATTATCTTGTGACTTTTACTCACCAGAAAGCTGATCAGCCCTGACCGTTTTCAACCTTTTCTAATAATTATTTGAATCGTACATCTTGAGGCCAGAATCTCCACCCACTTTGCAGCTTCATGCGATAAAGACAGCGAGTTGTGGTCTGATTTGCTCATAACATTTTCCTTTCGGCATGACTCTTTCTGTCCAGGCAAACCACATTTAATATTTATGAGTTAGGTGCCCCAGCTTTAAATGTACTACAGAGGGTGGCCTAAGCTTAACCTTAATGCTAATGCCTTGTGTGATTCGAACCAATGCTTCGAGTGATTTTAATGTTTCTTTTCTCTTTTTCCTCCTTGTGTATGAACTTTGCTATACAAAAAATGTACCTGGTCCAGATTGGCCCATTTCTCCTCCACGGCGTTCCCTCTCACTCCTTTCTCTGGCACCAGGTAAAGTTCTGCTACTGTGGGCAAACCGGGGAGCACTGCCACCAAGAGCTGATCCTCGCTGATTCCGGTGACCTTTAATTTAAAGCAGAAAACACATTATTTAATAGGTTAGCATTGACATTATCTGGGGTTTGTTGTTGTTTTTTTGTTTTTTTTCTCAGTGCGTACAAGAGCGCAATTCCATTTAAAAAGGCTAAACATGCAAGACATTCTGCCGGCTTCACATAACATTTGCCTAAGTACCAGTCACTGTCGCCTCGTAACGCGCCAATCAGCCGCGACATACAAGTTCAAGTTGACAGGCTGTGGTCAAAGACTGGGGCTTTTAGTGCGTTCCCTCCATAAGCAGAGGTCTCCTGTCAACTTCTGGGTGTAATGCAAGGGAATATCTGACAAGACAGAAGGTCAGAGTGAATGTTTCATACTGAGGGCTACTCACGGATATATTTAGAATCCAGTATCCAGGTCTTTTACATAAGCGAGTGTGTTGTAGGCGTCCTGGTTGATTTTTTTTTTTTTTTGCGGCGAAACTCGACATTTATCCTCAGTTCAACAACTCCCCTCTACTCGCGGTTTTTTCGGTGTTCTCCGGAGGCGTGCGGACGCGGAGAAAACAGCAGCTGTCGTCGCCCTCCCCTTCACTGCCCTTTGGTATTATGACAAGTTCTCAAAGCGGGAGTGTGTTAGCAGTTTTGCGTGTCACCGTGTATAGGTTAATGGCTAATTACACTGTGAGGTTAAAGACTTGGACAAAACGGAGCACTCACAGAACCGCATAGTGGCATTACTAATTCAACAGATCCCAGAGTGGGAAATATTAGCTCAGAGAAGCCTTGGATTTTTCACTCTGGGCCAGTGAAGAGATGTTAATTGCCAAGTTTGAGAGAAAGCTTCAGAACTTGACTGCAGCGCTTGTTCATTAGAATAGATTTGTGCGTAATGTTTGCCGGCAGCAGCAGATCTGACCTGGACTACAGAGTTCTCCACCACTCTGCCGATATCCTCTCTCCACTCAGACACCCCAGGGTTCTGCTCGTCCAAATTAGAGGAGAAGGCTAAAACATGGGAGCGAAAGTAATCTGCAACACAGCACACACACGCAGTAGAGTCATTATAGAGAGAGATACCACAATGTCTTTCACAATAGAGGATAGACTATGATGATGATAATAATACAAATAATAATACTACATCATGCTTATTTAGAACATTATGGACACTCAAAGATGCTTTACAAAAGGACAGGTTAAGACAAGAGAAAAGAAAGCCTTAGAAAAAACAGGTATAAACTAGTAATATATAGGATTTAAATACATTAAACACATACTTTAATGTACTCAAACAGAATGTGTTATTTAGAGTAAAGTAGTGTGTGGAGGAAAGAGAGTGAGGCCCTCAAGAGAGCAACTAGTTGGAGGGTGTAAGGTCAGAGTGTCTCATTTGTGCGCGCGTGTGTGTGTTTGTGTGTGTGTGTGTGTGTGTTTATGTTTTGTGAGAGGGGTAAGCATCAGCTTTGAACAACTCCTAAGGGGTTGAACTGAACTCCAAACTCAACAATAAAATAAAAGTCAAAACACTTGCAAAAAGGTTTATAGGATTGTTTTTTTTTTGCTTCATTACAAAATCTCCACGGAAATTACGTAGGAGGACTTTTGAGTTTGATCTTTCTATGTGCAAAGATCAGAGGCCAAAACTACAGGGTTTTCAGATTTTAAAAAAGTCCAGCAATTTGGATCTGCTCATAAGAGTTCTTCGAGAGAGAATATCAAAATCAGTTTGCATTTTTACTGTTTTAGAGAAAAAAGTTGAATGCAATACAATACAATACAACTTATTCTTGTATAGCCCTAAATCACAACAGCAGTCATCTCAGAGGACTTAACACAACCATTGAAATCACCAACACAGATCAGAGAATCAACAGTTAAGACACAAAAAATATTAAAACAAACGCTAACTGCACAACAGACCCTCCTGCATCGGCAAGGAAAAACTCACAAAAACCCTGTGGGAAAAGAGTGAGAAACGTCGGCGAGATCCACATATTGAGGAAAGGATCCGCTTCAGACGGACAGACGGGCTATAGATCCAGGACCTCTGAGTTCAGTGTCGTAAATCATAGATCTGTATTGAGATTTTGAGTCTGGACTAATCTACATAATGAGCAATAGGCACTAAACAATGTGTAAATATGATGAATTATGACACCTTTCTCAAACGGCAAATGTCAGCTCTTATACATGACCTACTGTAAACAAAGACATATTACAGCAAGCATAATGTTCAAAGTTCAAAGTTTGTAGAGTGAAATACACTGCCCTCTACCTGTCTGTTAACACACTACTACCATGTAAAAGCACAGAAGGACTCAGTAATTACAGATCCAGCTTCCAGAATTCAGAAATAAACTTGGACTCTAATAGACTTAGCATAATTGGCCAAAGCTGTGGGCACTGTGCTTAAGTTGGACGATATATTTGCTTGGAAATGTTTTATTAAGCCACAGAACGAAAAGACAGAGGCTAATTTATAAGGCTCTGCAGAAAAGCACAAAAACCTGCCCTTTTCAAATGAGGAAGTGATGTATAATCTAAACAAACAGAGATGGCTCATTTCAGTCTGACTGCATCAATAAAGCATCAGTCTTTTGCAGGATGTTTGCGACACGCGAATTCTCGGTGTGCAGATGAATTATTAAATGTATGGTGGGTGTCTCCAGTCGTAAAGTGAACAAAGTAGAGATGATCAGCAGATACACGTGTTCTTAGGAGAAAATACAGAAAAGCCTGACGTTCATTTGCATCGTGTTGGTGACTTGGCGACAATGATAATGTGTTTGCTCCTTCTGTGTTTCCAGAAAAAGTAGCATTTTATTTATATAGCAGGAGTAATTTATTTATACAAGCTTCCATATCTGATGTAGCAGCTCTTTGTGGTGTTTAATTAGTGTGTATAAGTATTTCTAGTAGTAGTTTGTAACAGTGACCCACTACTGGTATCAGCACAACAACACAATGGTGATTATCCATGAGGCGACATTAGTAAAATATACCATTCTTCAAATAGTTTATGCTGAAGCATTGCTATTGTGAATATTGATAGAATTGTTTTAACACAGTATTAGTGTCATCCAGCAAGTGTCATGGTGTGGACTTTCTGTAATATATTTTTTTTAAAGTGGACATATCGTGTTTTCAAATAATTGATTTTTACATCTAAATCATTAATTTGTGGCCTATATAAAGCGTAACTGCAATGCCTGGGTCTGAGTCTCATTATTTGTAGCTACACGGGCCTTTCTTCTACACCTGTTCTGAGGTGTGTCTGAGAGCAACCTGTTTTGGTGCTGTCTCTTTAAATGCAAATGAGGCGCTTTTGACCACCCCCCATCCAGGTGACACAGGTTCAACTCCACCCCGAGCGGCCATTTTTGTAGTTTCTAAGCACAGATACAATTATCTCATAGAAACTTCTCATTATATCGCAAACATGAAGCAGGCCTTCCTCATTGACTGAAAGCAAATGTTAATTTTCATTCTTAGTCCAGTCTTATTATCGACTCTTCTCTTTTTAGCTTTGGGATCCACGCGCACAGTCAAGGCAAGGAAAGGAAAGTTATTTATATAGCACAATTCATACACAAGGCAATTCAAAGTGCTGAACAAAATATGAAAGCATTAAAATCATAAATAATCACAGAACATTAAAAAGAAAGATAAAAATATAAAATCCCTCAGTTGTATGCACAGCTAAACAGAACTGTCTTTAACCTGGTTTTAAACATTGTCAGTGTTGACATGACATTCTAAAACCATGTGTTTTATGACCTAAACGACCTCTAAGTGGGAGGCCAGTCCTTCTTATTTTATTTTAGGTGTCTTCTTGTGCCAGCAACTGGACAACAGATGGATTCTGCTGTTTGTATTTCACCCCCCTAGTCTTGGCCTGCTGACTTCTGCACTTTTCAACCTCACTCCATCAGGAGTCTGGCAGACGGAGGAAAAGGTTGGACCCTAGACCGGAAGCTGGCTGATAGGACACTCCCCTCCTTCCTGTTCTTTTTATGCTCTGGCTGGAGGCGGGAACTGGAGAAGCAGACCAGGGCCAGAGAGAGACATGGATAGTATAGGAGCTGGTTGAATTTCTGTTATTTGATTGTAAAGATAAATTAAATACAGATGTTAAACTTGAAGATCTCTGCCTTACTTCTGCATCCATTTTCGAACACGTCAGTCAAAGGGAATTATTGACTGCATTTGGAGACCCCCGACGTGATGGTGCAGGAGCAAGACAGAGATGAGCTCAGCTATAGAGACTGGATTTGTGGGCCTGGAAAAAATCTCTCTGCTCTTCACAAATGTCGCTTTTAAAGAGGTAAGCGGATCATAGTTTTGAAAATCTGCACATTGTTTTAAATAGAAGAGAGAGAGATTTTGGCTCGACAGATTGCAGCGTGGCCAGACGACCGCCGTGACGGGGCGTTCTATCGGACGCGATAGAACAATAGTCAGGTTTTTCGACGTTTTTGAACCTTGAGGGAAGCATGGGTCCCCTCTAAAAAAGAATATACAGGAAAAGAGCCACAGGGTTTATAAGTGCAAAAGAGGCACACCGTTTTAAAGTGCAGAGAGGCACAAGTGAATTAGTGAAAAAATAGGAATAGAATTAGAGAAATAGGGACAGATTTAGGGTCAGAAGTAATAGGATAATGAAACCTCCATATCCCCCGGGGGGCGGGAAAAAGGGTACAATTAATTTAAACAGAAAAAAGCCAAGTATTTAAAATGTGAATTCTGATAATAACGATCTCATTAATGAGAAAAAAGAGAGCCACTTGGCTGTAGTATACGAGTTTCATGTGAAGAAATGACAAAAGATCAGTTCTGGGAGTTTTTCTCTTATTCTGATGTAATGTTAATAGTTACAGAGAATCAAAAAAAAAAAAAAAAAAAGATTCTGCTGGAACTCTTGATACATTAATCATGTAGCAAATGGTAATGTTTTCCATTACTGACGTATTCAAGGATAAAATGTAAAGTGTCGTTTGACGTGAGAAAAACTTTTACCACTGATTAAAACCTTGTCACGAGAAAAACGAGGAAAGTATTTCAGACTCCATGTTTTCCTTTGTTCGGGAGGCCCCTCCCCTTCTTCTTTCTCTCTCTCTCTCTCTCTTTCTGTCTTTCTCTCTCTCTCGTGAAGAAAGAAATTTTTTGTAGAAAATTACATTTATACACACGATAATGTTACTGACATGGAGTCATAGGATCACAGAACTTTGAGTTAGATTATAAAGAGGCATTATTTTATTTTTTATCTCCAAGGCGTCTGGACAAGTTTTTTTCCCTACATTTTGGTGATATAAAAGTTAGAATGATTTTAGAGAGCATTATACTTTTGGAAAAATAGGGCTTAGGATAGCAGTTGAATGCAAATTCGGTTTTCAGAATCTAATGTTTAAAATGTTAATATTAATTATTTCATAGGTTTATCTTGAATTGTAATTAATTATTGGTTTTGTATGGTAATTAACACACTTGTTTGTGCTTCTTGTTTGTCTGTTTTTTCCGAGAAAACTTCTGTCTGTTTCATTTGTGCCAAAATCGTCTGCCACAAGTCCTCAATCGGGCGCCATCAACACGGACCATCAGCGTCTCCCCCTCTCCCGGCGGGTCGCAGGGGGCAGCATCGGCTGCAGCAGCTAACAGGAACTCTCGAAGAAGACTTCTCCTGCCTGTGAGGAGGCAAAGAAAAGACCGCAGACTTTTTCACAAAATGAGTGTTGTCCCATCTACGGAACAGAAGGTGGCGGTAATGCGAAAAATAGGCCGCCAACCGCCGGAAACCTAACAAGAAGAAGAAGGACACACACATTTGTGTGCGTCAAAAATGAGACAAAGAAAGACATGAGAAAAGTTGTCGAAAGAAGAAGAAAGTGATTGAAAAGGAAAAGACATTATGAGAAAAAGTTATCGGAAGAAGAAAGAAAAGTGATTGTTGAAAGAAGAAGAAGAAAGAAAGTGATTGTTGAAAGAGGAAGAAAAAAGGCATTGAGGCAAACCCATTGGACACTTTGAGA